CATTTCTGAGGTTATTAAATCCAACATCTACTTCCCACTTTCTGTTGCTTTTCCCTTATCTTGACAATCGGGTTTGTCATTTTTACTTTTATTTTTTCAAGCAAAATGGGCTTGGTGTGGCAGCATAGGGCTATAACTTGAACAGTGAAGCAGGAGGATCGCCATGATTTAAAGGCCAGCGGGTCTACACAGTTAGTCCCGGGACAGCCAGGGAGGACTAAAAAGCAAAACAAGAACAAAAATAAACAAATAAAAATCTTTTAAAAAGGAAAACTGTCACCCAAAAGTCCTAAATTGAAGTGTGCATAGGGCCAGAGCCATTCGGAAGTGGGGCAAGGGCATGTGAGCTGTGCATTAAGTATACTGGACGACAGTTGATGCTATGGGACTGAATAACAGGGCTGCTGTGCAGCAAAGCCTTATCTGTTAGGAATAAAGGCTGGAATATTTATGGGAAAGCAGCACCACAGCTGGCATTTGTTTAGACCACTCTGGAGAAAAGAGAAAAAGCAGAAGGGAGCACTGGCTGGGCTGCTGACTGCTGAAGTTGTGATGAGTACACGGGAGTTCCTAACAGTGACTGCCATGTGAAAGATGGAAAACTTCCTTCAAAGGGAAAAACAAATCCCACAAGAATGTCCACAGGGTTCTGGCAGGCCACAGGAGAGGGAGACGAGCGTCTGTTGGACACGGAGAACTGAAAATGTCTCCAAAGAAGCCAAGACAATTGGGTCCAGATGAGTTTTGTCAGGGAACTAGAGCCAAAAAGTTGCCAAACTTTGGAATTTTATTTTGGAGAGAAATTAGAATCCAGGATGTTTAGATGGAATTAATTGTACAATAATTGACATTTCCAAAAACAAAGCTCAAGCCAAGGAAAACATGTTTGCTTAGTTGAGCTGCTCAGATTGTAAACTTGAGACTTTTGTTAGAGTAAATGGGGAGGGCGGGAGGGGGATGGGGACAGGAGGAGATAGGCCAGACAGACACACATGCACGAGAACGTGAAGTGATGGGTTCAGAATCCAAAGCATGGTGACGGGACCAGCTCTTTCTCTCATTTTTTGAGACTGTTTTGGAACTCATAATTCTCCTGCCTTGTCTTCCAAATGCTGGGGTTACTGGTGTGTCCCACTATGTCAAAACTCCTTCAAGCTGTGTGGACTATGGGCAAAATGACTCAGCTCATCAACCCTGGGTTCTGTCACTAAAATAACAAGAATAATCCCCTCTTCGTTGTTCTGCAGATTAAGTGAAATCATGCTTAGCACAGAGGTTGGCACAATTCATCTATCCATCCATCTCCGCCTTCGACCTACTACTGCTATTCCGGGCATTGTACCACTAAGTAGTCTCCATCTGCGGCTATTCTCTGCATTGTGCCCAACCTCTCACCAGCATCTGTATTTCTAGTTACTCCTAGTGCAGTATCTTTTTACGCTGGCATTTCTCTGGTTGGTATCTCCACTACAACTGTTTGTGGAGAAGCCCAAAGGTCAAGCAACACTAGACTCCACCTCACGACAGTCAGTCTCCATACCACCAGAGCCCAGTGTCTGTCCTATGCCTGGACTCCATGCAGGGACAGTTGACCGGCCTCCAGCCAGCTATCAGAGTTAGACCCTGCCCTCTTAACCAGCACCTGGTGTCACCTCCTTGCACCTCTTCATGAAGCAGCCTGCCTCCATCTTAGGCTTGACACCATCTTATAGTAAAGACACAGTAGGTTGGCTCATTCATTCCTATTTTCGACTAAACCTGTTTCTCAGGGATTGGGCTATGCCCAACCTGGAACCTTAAATGAACTACAAATAGTTTTGTGCTGCCTGCTACAGGAAACGGCAACCATGCCTTTGTTTCAAAAAGTTGTAGCCATCTTACAAGACTATCTTTGTTTCAAGAGGTTAGGGCTACCTTGTTACAGTCCTGTCTGTTTCAGCAAGCTCATTCTAACTTGCTGAGTTTATGTTCTGCTCCTGAAACCTCAAAGACTATTTTGCCTTCCGAATTCATTTGGAAACCTAAAATATAAAAACCCTATCTTCCTCACATCCAAGGCTGACCTCTTGAACCCCGCCTTAGAGTAGAAATAAAAAAAGCTTGCTTTAATTAATTTTGCCATGATGATTTAAGTCGGTGTCTTTCTCCTCTAATCTTTGGGATTAACACTTTTAAACTTGAGTGTTATGATGCTAATGCTGTCCTTCCGAAGCTGGAGCCCATCTGGTAGTGAGGATTATCTCTCCAATCCCCTTAGTATCTAGTGGGACCAGGAGCAAAAAAATCCCAGGCACCTACTAAATTCCACCAGGAAGCCAAGTGGGTTCTGGAAAACCCTGACGGCTTACAAGAGCCCTAAGAAGTCCAGGATCATGAGGCTCTTAAGGATTAATTATGAACATGAAAAATCTCTAAAAGAAACCCACTAAATTGAAGGGTTCAAATGGTCCCTGAGGATCATGGGAACTCATAGGGGTTGGGGGTTCACAGGAAGTTCTGACCAACTTGGGGTTCTGAGCGTTCCCGTGAGTCTCCGAGGAACCACCCCTCCCTGACGGGTGCTGAAGAAACGCCACGGCGGCGTGCGGCAAGCGATCCCGTCCACGAGACTCGCGGCGGGAATCACGCGAGCTGTGGGGGGGAGGGGGGGCGGAGCTTCCGAGAATACCGCAGAGGACGACGGGAACCCGCGCGCCAAATGCAGCCCGTAAGCCTGAGCTAGGGAGTAGACCGCCGCCGCCGGGCAAGCTCTCACCAGTGCGCATGCGTGGCTCTCCGGCACCGGTCCGTACTCCAGTGTCGTGAAAATCTCGCGGGCGCAGGGTCGGACACGCGTGGCCGCCATCGCTCGCCGAACGCTTCCGCGGAGGACTGCCTGACGAAGGACCTTGGGAACGTGGAGGTCCGAAGGGCGGCACCTCCCACTCCAGTCAAGGGGGCGGGGCCCACAGGCTAGGGCGTGGCGCGAGCTCGAGGGCGCGTCCCTCCTCCTTTAGAGCCACACCACGGCTCCCGTGGGCGGATGCTGGGAAATGTAGTTTCCTGGATAACAGCAACGGGGCGGGGCGGAGATCTCCGCATTAACAGAAGGGCTCCAGCGTTGGGAGGACAGCATATTGTCATTTTGACTCTTTAGAAAAATAAATTGGCCGGACGGTGGTGGCGCACACCTTTAATCCCAGCACTCGGGAGGCAGAGGCAGGCGGATCTCTGTGAGTTCGAGACTAGCCTGGTCTACAAGAGCTAGTTCCAGGACAGGCTCCAAAACCACAGAGAAACCCTGTCTCGGAAAAAAAAAAAATTGGAGGTGGGGGTAGAAAGAAATAACTGGAGGCAGATAGTGCAGCTTTTAGTCCAAGAGTCCACTAGGGAACAAGAGCTGGCACTGGGTCTCAGGAATAGTTGAAAAGCAATTTTTTTGTTTGTTTGTTTTTAGAGATAGGTTTCTCTGTGTAGCCCTGGGGACAGGAGTCGCTGGGCGGTGGCAGCACAGGCCTTTGATCCAGCACCTGGGAGACACAGACTGGCAGATCCCAGGGTTCGAGGCCAGTCTGGTCTACAGAGCGAGTTCCAGGACAGCCACGGCTACACAGCGAACCCTGTCTTGAAAACCCAAAAAGAAATAGAAAGAAAGGATCAGAGCATAAGACCAAGTTCTCAACACAAAGGAGATTTATTTGCCGGAGAGGGACAATGACAGGGGGATAGGAGGCCATGGCTGGGGGAAGGATATCGGCCCTGGAGGAACAAAGGGCTGCCTCTGGATAAAGTGGAGGCAGACGTGGCACATGGGGAAATGGCAGTTTATAAAGGGAAAGGGGAAGCCCGTGTTATGGTGAGGTGTTTAATTTTAATTGGCCATGTTAATTAGGGTAGCCAAAGGGGACTGGGGACTTGTGATTGCTGGACTACTAGGCCTTGTCGGTCAGCCTCAGGAGTAGGAAGTGGCCAAACAAGGGACTAGACCTTGGTGGCTAGTTTTAGGGGTGTAATCTATGGTTTAGCAGGGGAGAAGGAAAGAGGAAGGGCACGGGCAGCAGAGCCGTGCTTGCCATGCTCTGGCCTTCTAGAGCCCTTTCAGTCCTAGAATTTGCTCTGTAGACCAGGCTGGCCTCGAACTTAGAGCACCACTTCCTTCTGCCTCCCAAGTACTGGGATTAAAGGTGTACACCACCACCACTCAGCTAAAAATATTTGTCTTTTACTGGTATGGGTGTTTCTCCGCATGTATGTCTGTGCACCACGTGGGTACAGTGCCTGTGGAGGCCAGAAGAGGGCCGTGGAGCCACTGGGGCCGGAGTTACAGGCAGCTGTGAACCACCAAGTGGGTGTTAGGAGCTGAACCTGTCCTTTCTGAAAGCAACGTGTTCTTAACCACTGAGTCATCTCTCCAGCACTAATATTTTATTCTTTTTAAAGTAAGCAAAGATTTGCTTTTGTTTTGCGTGCATGGGTATTTTGCCTGCCTGCAGGTCTTGTGAATCACCTGCATGGAGTACCCCCAGGAGGCCGGAAGAGGGCGTTGGATCCCCTAGACCTGGAGTCACCATGTGGGTGCTGGGAATCAAACCCTGGTCTTTTCGAAGACCAGTAGGCTCTCAAAAACTGAATTATCTCTCCAGCTTCTCCTCCCCATGGTTTTTTTATAAACAAAAATCTTCATTTTGCCCAAAAAGGGTAGTTATTAGTATTGAAATTAAGGGTGTGTGTGTTGGGTGGGTCGGACCCAGAGCCTAACACACGATAGACAAGAGCCACATACAGAGATACTAAATTTTCAGAGTGACAGTCCTTTCTGCACTGAACCGCCCGCAGTTGTTAGCGACGAGCAGAAATGTAGGTTTTATTGATTCAAGAAGTATACCGTTTCGCGAGCCGCCTCCGGTCTTACTTTTGATTGGCTAGTTAGGGGGGCGTGACTTCAGCTTTCTAAAACAAATTGTCACGCGGGGCCTGCTTGAATGATTGGGCTTTGAGTCTAGGAAGTGTGATTACTTCAGTTCCTTGGTTACAGAGGCCGGAAGTGTGTCTTTCATTTACGCATCGGCCAAACAGGACCGATCAAGAGACCCAACACGCTTGAGGAGACAGTGCCTTCTTCGCACGGAACTGTAGACCATTACCAACACAGATCTTAGAGTTCTGGGTAGAGTGCGGTGTGTTAGAATCGACCGAGGTCCTGCAATAAACTGGCTTCGTTTGTCCGGGAAAAGTTCTCCACGTTTTGAACGCCTAGGACTTTTTTCCAGGGCCATGGCGGAGTCGAAGCTTCTGGCACCAGAGCTAAGCGATGCAGAGTCGATGGGTGATGAGACCGTGCGGTTTCAGGAGATGCTACTGCAGGTGCGGCCTGACTGGACTTTTGGGAATCTGGGTGTTTAAATATTTATACACTGGCGCTCAGAGATGCTGCTTCAGTTCCCAGAATGCCCTGCGGTAGCAAGGAGGCCTATGGGAATCGTAGTTGTTTAGCTCAAAGTTTACTAGCGTTTAAAAGAAATGGAGTTGGGGTGATCTTGGGAGTCCTGTAAAAAGAAAAGGGAGCTAGACTGTATAACAAGTGAGCCGGGTGGTGGTGCCGCACGCCTTTAATCCCTGCACTGGGGATACACAGGCAGGCAGATATCTATGAGTTTGAGAACAGCCTGGTCTACAGAGTGAGTTCCAGAACAACCAGGGTTACACAGAGAAACCCTGATTCAAAAAACAAAACAAAAACAGAAACATATAAATATATAATATTAGTAAAAAACCTGTGCTCCCCAGCCATCACAGACGAGGTGCCCTATAAACATTTGGGAAGCACATGAGGGTTTTGACAGGACAGAAGTATCATGGAGGGTTGTTTTTTTTTTTCCCCTCACAGGCTTCCAAAGAGCTCCAGCAAGCCCAGATGGAAAGGTCAGAATCTACACAGATCCGGCCCCAGCCTGGTGAGAAACAGATATAGATATATAGGAACATATATGTGAATGTTTATATACTTATAGATGTATATACACATGTATGTATATGTGTGTATGTATGTGTGTGTGTCTGTGTGTGTACACATAGAGAGATTTAGAGTATCCCAGAGCAAGGATGGGAGACCCTGAGAGAGGTCAGGAGAAACTAGGAGCAGGGGACACAGGATGAAGTAGAGAGATCATAACTGCATACAAAGGCCTAGAAGTAGTTAGGTGAATGCACAGGTAGGAAGATCAGAAATACTGGACCACAGAGAGCAGAGTGGGAAAGTAAGAAAATGTCAGGGGCCTGAGGGAGGTAGAGGGGAACAGAGGCCAGAGCCAGAGAGTGAGAGGAGCCAGCAAGAGGGTTGAGCAAGGAAAGGCCTGGCACTCAGCCTGGTGACTCCTGAATGTTGTTCTCTGACTATCACACACAACAACTATGGCATGAATGCACATGCGTGCACACACCCACCCACATATACACACAAAGTAAGTGCATGTAATAAAAATTGAAATGGAGAAGGAACTGGGTGTGGTGGTGAGGGCCTGTAATCTCAGGAGGCAGGAGTATCCCAAGTCTGGGCCAGCCTCGGTACAGAGTGAGAGACCTTGTCTCAAAAAAGGGAGAGGGTGGGTGTGGGGTGAGAACGAGACTGCCCAGGGACAGATGGCCAAGATAAACCCACTGTGCAGGTTTCTGCATAAAGACCAACTCATCGGAAGGAAAGGTTTTCATCAACATCTGCCACTCTCCCTCCATCCCTCCCCCGGTGGACGTGACTGAGGACGAACTGCTTCAGATGCTGGAGGAGGACCAAGCTGGCTTCCGAATCCCCATGAGCCTGGGAGAGCCACATGCCGAGCTGGATGCAAGTCAGTACCCTCAGAAGACACCAAGTCTCTTCCCTCAAGATCCTGCGATTCTCAGGAGCTTCCAGTCAGGGTTGGGAGCCAGAGCGGATTGACCCAGGCCTTCAGGGAACATGCCCTGGGGCTCTTCACTGAGTTAAGGAGGCTTCAGAGAAGGCTGCCTGGAACAGTAGTAGTCTGATAGAAGATTTGAAGAGTTAACTGGGCAGTGGTGGCGCACGCCTTTATCCCAGCACTAGGTAGCACAGGCAGGCAGATCTCTGTGAGTTTGCGGTCAGCCTGGTCTACAGAGCGAGTTCCAGGACAGCCAGGGCAGACAGAGAAACCTGTCTCAGGAAAGATTTGAAGAGGGTTTTAAGCAGAGACGACTAGTGAGCTGGGCATGGTGGCTCACTCTTACAGTATTAGCTCTTACTGAGGCAGGAGAATTGCTGAAAGCTAGAGGCCATGCTGAGCCACATGGGAAATTGACAAGGGCCATGTCTGGGGGATACAGTGACTAGATTGATGGGCATCAATGAGGAGAGACTAAGTGTGGACAGTCAGGGTTCTCTAGAGCAGGTGGGCAGGATAGAGGGAGGTGGTTCTTGGGGCCACTGGAGAGGATCAGGGTCTGTCTTGCGGATATGGGCATCAACCTGGAGTTGAGCCTGGAAGCCAAGAAGGACCTGGTCAGAGTTGCCTGGGAAGTGTGTGCTGGTCTCACTTCCCATGTCTTGGATCTGGTCCTTGGGTAAGTTCTCGTTTTGGGTGTTACGCGGAGGGTTGCAGGGCCCTTGTTCCTTCTTTCTTTCCACAGAAGGCCAGGGCTGTACTGCCTATGATGTTGCCGTCAACAGCAACTTCTACCTGAGGATGCAGGTGGGGTGTATGTAATGGGCAAGGCCCTGGGAGGGTGCTTACCCCAACCCCGTCCCCACCATCCTGTCTCTTGTTTGTCTCACCTTAGAACAGCGATTTCTTGCGGGAGCTGGTGGTCACCATTGCCAGAGAGGGGCTTGAGGACAAGTATGGTTTACAGCTAAATCCAGGTGAGAGGCCGGAGGGCCGTGGGAACGGCCTGGATGGCACACTGGGAGAGGTGAGTCCAGTGTGTCAGTGATTTTCTCCACCAGCTCTCAGCAGGGGGTGGAGCTTCTCGGGAGTGAAGGTGGGGCTGAGAAGGGGCGGGATCAGGAGTCTACTGGGGGGGGGGTGGGTGGTGCTAAGGTGGGTAGGACCTCCTAAAGTCAAGATTGCCAAGTCAGAGCAGAAGGTGTCTGGGAAGGTGGCCTAGCCTCTGTGGACTGGGAGGCACCACCTGAGGGAACCCCACTTCAGCGACCTCCCCCTCTGCAACTCTCAGAATGGCGCATGCTGAAGTATCGGTCTTTCCTGGGCTCCATCTCGCAGCAGAACATTCGCTCCCAGCAACGCCCTCGGATCCAGGAGCTGGGGACCCTTGAAGGGTGAGCCTTCATGAATACCAGGGCTGATGACCATCCTGGGTCTCTTGGAACGCAGGGACAGAACTGAGACTCAGAGTTGGATGAAGGGAGGAAGGGACAGGAAGCCAAGTAGAGGGTGCAGGGCTGTCAGACCAGGTGGTCACCCTCAGTCTGCCATTGTTCCCATACAGCCCAGAACGGCCTCACCTGAACCTTTGGTTGGAAGCCCCTGACCTCCTCTTGGCCGAAGTTGACCTCCCAAAGCTGGTGAGTGCCGGCTTTTTAGTCAGAGAAAAGAACTAGAGACTGGACACCCTGGGACTGGGTCAGGACATCGAGGAGCCAAAGTCCTGGGTCTGAGGGAGGAGGCTGGGCCTGGACTCCTGGGTCTGAGGAGGGAGGCTGGGGCCTGGACTCCTGGGTCTGAGGAGGGAGGCTGGGCCTGGACTCCTGGGTCTGAGGAGGGAGGCTGGGCCTGGACTCCTGGGTCTGAGGGAGGAGGCTGGGGCCTGGACTTCTGGGTCTGAGGAGGGAGGCTGGGCCTGGACTCCTGGGTCTGAGGGAGGAGGCTGGGGCCTGGACTCCTAGGTCTGAGGGAGGAGGCTAGGACCTGGACTCCTGGGTCTGAGGAGGGAGGCTAGGGCCTAGACTCCTAGGTCTGAGGGAGGAGGCTAGGACCTGGACTCCTGGGTCTGAGGAGGGAGGCTGGGCCTGGACTCCTGGGTCTGAGGGAGGAGGCTGGGCCTGGACTCCTGGGTCTGAGGAGGGAGGCTGGGCCTGGACTCCTAGGTCTGAGGGAGGAGGCTGGGGCCTGGACTCCTAGGTCTGAGGGAGGAGGCTAGGGCCTGGACTCCTGGGTCTGAGGAGGGAGGCTGGGGCCTGGACTCCTGGGTCTGAGGGAGGAGGCTGGGGCCTGGACTCCTAGGTCTGAGGGAGGAGGCTAGGGTCTGGACTCCTGGGTCTGAGGAGGGAGGCTGGGGCCTGGACTCCTGGGTCTGAGGGAGGAGGCTGGGCCTGGACTCCTGGGTCTGAGGAGGGAGGCTGGGCCTGGACTCCTGGGTCTGAGGGAGGAGGCTGGGGCCTGGACTCCTAGGTCTGAGGGAGGAGGCTAGGGCCTGGACTCCTGGGTCTGAGGAGGGAGGCTGGGGCCTGGACTCCTGGGTCTGAGGGAGGAGGCTGGGGCCTGGACTCCTGGGTTTGGGTTAGGTCTCTGGAGGCAGTGATGTGGGGCTGTCCCCAGACCCAGAGAACCAGCAGGTGCAGCCACTGCTCTCCGAGTCTGAGTTCCTTGAGACTTAGAGTTACTGTCCTTTGATTTTGTTTGCATTGTTTTGGTTCTGAGGATTGAAACCACAACACGACCTTGTAGCCATAGTTTCCCAGTGCTGGGGCTGTGGGCTGACCTTACCTCTTCCCCAGGACGGAGCTCAAGGGCTGACCCTGGAGATTGGAGAAAGTCACCTGGTGATGGGAGGCTCCCAGCAACTGTACCGCCTCAATGCCTCCATTCCCCTGCGGATCAACCCTGAGGCAAGCAGGGCTGCTTTCCACCACCGGAGAAAGGTACCTGGTGGGACTTGAGGAAGCTGGAGCCTTGCATCTGTCGGAGGAGGCTGGGTCCTGAACCCTCGTTCTCTTCCCTTTCTCAGCAGCTGATGGTGTTCTTGCCCCTCCTGTCAGTGTCTTGACCGGAATCTCCTTGTATCTCCAGAGGTGGCGAACATGTTGGTGTCTTCTCTAAATGTGAAGTAAACTGTCTTTCTTTCCAGCTTCAGAAATGAAGACGTGGCGGGCGGAAGGGAAGAGGGCTATCAGCTCTGACCCTGGTGTCCCCTAGACGTCCCTGGCCTTCTGGACTCCTTTCTTCATCTCCCCTGGGCCCCAGAGCTGACCCTACTCCTGTGCTCCCACTTCATGGTCCCAGAGCATCCAGGCTCAGCTCTGACCCCTTCCTTCCTAGACCGTGACTTCCTACAGACACCCAGCAACCTCAGAGAACAGTGTCCCACATCACTGACTCTTGCTTTCCCTCGTTCTAGTGCCCCCTTCTCTAGAATGGCCTTCTTCATGCAGTGGGTGCTCTCTTGTGATGGGGTTACGCTACCTGATCTCTTAGCAACCAAACTCAAGCAGCGTTTCTGGATCTCCTGCCTCTACTCCATGAACTCTGTCCATGCCTGGGGTCCAGCTTCCTATCACAAACACACCCAAGTCTACACCCCCCCACACTTCCTGCTGACTCAGCTGCACTTCCTCCTGGCGCAGCCTGCTGGTCTCGCCTTTGGGACACTCCTACTCTACTTCCCAATATTCCTTCCCCTTGTCAGTACTGCTGTAACCCAGGGCCTCTAATGCCAAGCCTGTGCAAGGGAGTCAGTGGTGACGCATGCCTCGCCTTTAATCCCAGTGCTCAGGAGACAGAGACAGGTGGATCTCCAAGTTTGAGGCCAGCCTGGTCTACAAAGCTAGTTCCCAGGCTACACAGAGAAACACTGGAAAAACGTGCAATGCCAGGCATACATCTGCTGCACCGTTGAGTTTCTCTCTCTCTCTCTCTTTCTCTCTCTCTCTCTCTTTCGATTTTCGAGACAAGGTTTCTCTGTAGTTATTGATGTCTGCCCTAGAACTAGCCCCTGCTGCTGAGCCTGAGGACTGGAGATCCTTTTCAGTGCCCCACGTGGTAGAGGAAACTGACTCCCAAAAGTCGGCCTCTCACCTCTACAAGGCGCACTGTGGCGTCCCAGCCTGAGCACGCGCACACACACACACACACACACTTCAGATTTATTTATATGTATGAGTGGTTTACCTGCATGCACACTGTTTTACCTGCAGAATTCAAAAGAGGGCGCCAGATCCTCTGGTCATGAGCCATCGTAAGGGTGATGGGAATTGAACCCCAGCCCTCTGCAAGAGCAACAATGCTCTTAACTACGGAGTCATCGCTCCAGCCCCAAACGTAGTTTTTAGCTTTTGTTTTTTTGTTTGGTTTTTCAAAACAGGATTTCTCTGTGTGGCCCTGTTTGTCCGGGAACTCGCTCTGTAGACCAGGCTGGCCTTGAACTCAAGAGATTCCGGGCAGTGGGGGCACAGGCTTTTTTAATACCAGCCCTCAGGAGACAGGCGGGGGGGGGGGGGGGGGGGATCCCTGAGTTCAATGTCAGATGCTCCACAGAGTGAGTTCCAAGACAGACAGGGCCACACAGAAACAACCCTGTGTTAAAGAAAACTACAACAAAACCAAAAACAAGGCCATACCGTTGCTGAGAAAAGCTGTCCTGTAGCCAAGCTTGGTGGGTATGCCTTCAGTAACATGCTCTGGAGACTGAGGCAGGAGGATGACAAATTCCACGCTAGTCTGTACAACAGCGACATCGATCCTGCCCCAGGATGTCGGCAAGCAAACTAGCGAGCCCTGCCCACGTGAGGGCGCAAGGAAGCCTTAGCCTCTAAGGCGTCTTAGCTAGAACAGTCACATCTAGAAGCCGTGGGCATAAAGAAACGTGGGGTGGTGGGCGTGCGCGGGGCTGACTCAAGCGCGAAGGTCACCGGGGCCTCTAGTTCAGACTGAGGCCCTCCCTGGGCCACCGAAGGACTAGTTTCTAGGTCCTAGAAAAGTGTGAGGCCGGGCGCGCTCCTCCTTCCTCCGTCGCCATGGTGACGGTGCGGGCGACCGCCCGGGATTTGGCAGCGGCGGGGGCCCCCTTCCCACTCCCTCCTCCTCACCATCTGCTCCTCCCTCACACCTGGCCCAGAGCCGCGGCGCCTCCTCCGCACGCAGTCCGGGACTCCACGGCCGCCAGGTGGCGCGTGCGCGCGGCTCGCCCGCCTCCCTCCTCCCCGGGGACTTGGAGACTCGACCGAGATCGTCCGCGCCCGCCTGCCGCCGCTCGATGGGCTTCTCTCGTCCCCTCCTGGGCCGCATCATGAAAATTTAATCCCAAATGCATTTGTGGTCCGACGCGGGGAGAGAGACGGTGGGGAAACCAGCACCCTGCTGAGACCTGGAGCTGGAGGCGCACAGGGAAAAGCGTTGGTTTGAGGGCCACCAGAGAGTTAGGGCTCCCCCCACCCCAAGAGTTGGGATTGGAATCTGCTGGGAAGAGGACTTGGGCAGGAACAGATCCTAGGACACAAGAGGAAGTCACAGCTGGGACAGACTTAAGGGGAGGAGCCAGGCCCCAGAACGCAGAGATAGGGTGTCCGCAGGAGTAGGGGGACACATCTGGGGGATGGGGGTTGAACTCAGAGGAAGAAGCTGCGACTCAACCGATGGGGCCCAGAGAGTCATAGAGCCTAGGGATATTTTAAGGGAGTGCGAAGGGAACCACTGGCACCAAGGGCAATGGTGGTGGACCCGGGAGTAGGGAGCAGAATTCTAAGGGATGAAAGAGGAGAGTTGAAAACTCAGAAAGACAAGGATGGAGGTGGATAAACCCCGAGGAAAAGTAGAACTCGAAGGGAATAGTGGAATCGGAAGAGTATGGGGAAAGCCGATCCAGTGGCACAAGAGGGTCCTAAGTTCAAGGCCAGCCGGTACAGAGTGAAGGCTGCGGACTTGCCTAGCGTGTGTGTGGCTCTGGGACCCACCCCAAAGGAAAGATGGGGCTGGAGAGATAGCTCTGCGGTAATTCCAGAGGCCCTGGGTTCAGTTCCCAGCACCCACATGGCGACTCACAACTCAGTTCAGGGGATTCAATGCTACTTTTATTTATTTATTTTGGTTTTTCGAGACAGGGGCCTCGAACTCACAGAGATCCGCCTGCCTCTGCCTCCCGAGTGCTGGGATTAAAGGCGTGTGATACCACTGCCCGGCTTCATTGCTACTTTTAAGTGTGTGCAGCTGCTAGGCATACAAGTAGTGCAGATAGACATGCTGGCCTTCTATATGACATTCTGTGCTCACACATAGAATTAAAATTTTTAAAAACAAAAACAAAAAAACTTTTTCTTTTGAGATAAAGTTTCTCTGTGTAGCTTTGGCTGTCCTGCAACTCTCTATAGATCAGGGTGGTCTTGAACTCAAGAGATTCACTTGCTTCTGCCTCCCAAGAGCTAGGATAAGAGGTGTGTGCCACCATGCCCAGTCCTAAACAAAATCAATTGGCTTTTCTCTGTGTAACCCTGACTGTCCTGGAACTTGAGCTATAGACCAGGCTGGCCTCGAACTCAGTGATTCACTTTGCTTCTGACTCTGAGTGCTGGGATTAAAGCTGTGTGCCATCATTGCCCAGCTTTTGTTGTTTGTTGTTTTGTTTTGTTTTTCGAAACAGGGTTTCTTTGTGTAGCTTTGGAGCCTGTCCTGGAACTCACTCTGTAGACCAGGCTGGCCTTGAACTCACAGAGATCCGCCAGCCTCTGCCTCCTGAGTGTGCGCCACCACTGCCCGGCTTCCCAGCTGTTTTTTGTTTGTTTTTTGAGACAGGATCTCTGCCTCCCCAAGTCCCGGGATTAATTAATGGCTTGCATCATCACCTCCCGTCTCTCTCTCTCTCTTTTTTTTTTTTTTAAGAAAAGAAAATGAGAAAGTCAAAGATCAGATGGAGAAGTGAGCTCAGCACGGAGATCAGGGAGGGAGGGACCTAGAGAGCGTGGACGGTGCGGAGTAATTTGGTAACAGGATTGTAGTGGGGCACTAGGCAATTCAGAGTTCGGTTCCAAGGGCGTGGCCTTGAGATGGCCAGGTAGAGGCTCTGGGACGCGAGAGTTAAAGGAGAGAGAGGGTCTAGCCTGCAAGATAAGGGGCTTAACTGACTGGCCTACAGTCCAGGTAGCTGAGTGGGAGGAGAGAGAGGGCCCTGACTGCAAGGGGTGGGGCCTCTTTGGGTGGGCGTGAATGCCCCGCCCCGCCCCGCCCCCCGACGTTCAGTCCCGCAACAGCCCCGGGCAGCTGGCACTCTCAGCCTGGTTCCCCCCCGAGCGGAGCTGCGGGGCCGGGCCGGGCCGGGGCGGACCCCGGGATCCCGGACGCGGCCGCCCGGGCCCGCGGGCGGGGGGATTGGCAGGGCACCCGAGTGGGCACAGCCACCATGGAGTTCCGGCAGGAGGAGTTTCGGAAGCTGGCGGGGCGCGCCCTGGGGAAGCTGCACCGGTGAGCTTGGTGGGGTTCCTGGGAGGGGAATGATGAGGATGCCCCCTTTCCACCCTGGAGCAGACGGACAGAGGGAAAAGAGAGAGGACACCCTGGCATGGTGTGGGGAGGCCCACCCAGCTGTTCAGGATTCCGTCCTGTGGATGCTGTTATCCCATCCTGCCTGGTCCATTATCCCCCCCCCCCCTTGCACCTCCTGGGGCTTGCCTTTTTCTTTGAGATTGTGTATCCCTCCCTATTCTCTCTCCACCTGTCTTCTGTCTTTTTACTTTAGATCTGTCTCCCCTCCCCGGATTCCTCTTCCCCTCACCTCTGGGTCTCTGTCCCCTCCCTCTGACCAGGAGCCACTGGTTTCAGTCCTGACCCTTCCTCTTGCACCCCTCCCGCTCTTCCTCTCTGGACCTCTGGTCCCCACTTTGATCTCTGTCTCTCCCTGGACTGCTATCTTCCCACCCTGGCTCTCCCCATCTCTCCTCTTTCTCAGGTTCTGTCCCTAGAGGCATTTAATCTGGAGCTAAAGCGGATTGGGGCTGTTGGTTCTTGTCCTTGAGGGGGGTTAAGCTGAGAGGAAAAATCTGGGGTATCCCAGGTTCTGGGGGGTGAGGAAATTTCAGGCCACAAAAACCAAATTAATCTTGGGGAGTAATATGGACTTCCCAAGGGAGATAGGCTAGAACTGGGTGAGATTTGCTTCCACCCAGAACCACGATTCCTATGACCCCAGTGTCCCTTGAGGTAGCCTGGACACTTCCCAGCCCCTCACCCCTAACCCCAGCTCTGGCTCTAAGTCAGAGAAATTACTCAGCTCCTGAGAAGCCTAAAAATATCTATCCACAGTGCGGGGAGGAGATGGCCTCGTGGGCATGGTGCCCTTAGACCCCGGTTCCTCCATACAGGGCCCTGGTCCATCTTTACATGGTCCTCGGTGATCTCACTGGGCCACTTGAGCCCAGTGCCAGTCTGATAGTCCACCTTGCTCTGGCTCACCTGGCTCCAAAGTTAACCCCACCCTCAGGTGACATGAGAGGGAGACAGGAAGGTGCAGTGGGGGGCAGTGGTGAAGGGGGGGCTGAGGTGCTCCACCCAGTGAGGGGCAGTGATGGAGGGGGGAGCTGAGACACCTCACCTCTCGGTTTTCCAATTCCCAGCCCCTCCCCACCCTTTTTTCTCGCCTCCTTTCACGAGTTTCTCAAAATACACCAGTGTGAAGTCAGGGGAGCTAGAGAGAAAGACATGCTGGTGGAGGGGGCTGGAGGGGTGAGAGCAGGAAGGAGATGGTCCTCAGGTCCTCCTGCTTAGTCTCTCCATTTCCTTCTGGGTCCCCAGCCTTGTCCATCTTCTTCAACCTCAGAGACCCCAGGAGAAGCAGCAGAAAGTTGGGGAGGGGGCAAGCATTTATTTGCTTACAAAATCCAGAATTCCCTTTGACAGTGGAGGGGGGTCAATGACTGAGAACTAAAGGTATCAGTTGAACACAGGTCATTCTCCTGCCCAGCCGGAGCGAGAGCTAAGAGCTGCAGATGGTCCTGGAGACCCAGATGAGTGAGGCTTGCTGGGGGCTGGCGGTGTCTTTCGGACCAGGTAACCCAGGATGACTTCGGACAAAGAAGAGCCAGGAGCCAGGGAGCCTTGCTTCTTTGGGTCAGGTTCTGGGCAGGGCAATGTTGGGGGCCAGGACTGGATCAGGCCCAAGTTGCTTTCCTCCTGTGTGACCTTGGACCTGTGACATCTGTTTTTGGAGTCTCAGTTTCCTAGTTCTATAATAGGAAGAAACCAGAAAAAAAAAAAAAAACTACCAAGGCATAGGGAGAAGGAGACACAGGGAGTGGGCAGGTATCTTCAGAGAGCAGTTGAGACACGTCTTCCTTTGGGGACACACCACCCTAAGGAACACTTTGCCTCACCAAGTCCTTGGCCTAGTTGGGGTCATTCAGAGAGGAGATGGGGCTTCTTTGTGACTCTTGTTATTCTGAGACAAGGGCTCCGGTAGCCAAGGCTGGCCCCTACACTAGTCACCTTGCCTCTGTCTCCCCAGTGCTGGGATTGGATGCACATATCCCCTGGCCTGCCTCACCTGCACTGCCCCGTGTCATGGCCAGCTGTTTCAGAATCCCTGTCTGAAAACCCTTAGCGAGATCCCACACCTAATGTAAACAGCACATGTCGACATTCCGGGGCTAGGCCTATGCCTGCAGTTTCAGTCAGTCAAATATCAGAAATCAGCCTAGGTCAAACTCCAGTCTCACAGGTAATGTTCTCTGGAGGGCGAACGTGCGGGGCCCTCCAGCCTATGTTCATTCTGGGGCGTTGAGTCCCAGTCTTTGACGCCTCCCTGTTTCTTTCTATCTTCCTTCCCTTGGTGCTCTCTGCACCCTCTCTCTTTCTATCCCCAGGCCAACCCCCCTTTTCTGACAGGCTCTCATGCACCCCTGGCTGGGCTGGAACTCAGAGAGACCCTGCCTCTGCCGTATTGTACTGTAGCTAAAGGTGAGCATCCCCATATGGCTTGTTTTGTTGAGACAAAGTCTGGTGTTAGCCAGGCTGGCTTTAACTATGTTGCCAAGGATGACTTTGAACTCCTGATCCTCCTGCCTCTGCCAAGTGTTGTGATTACAGCTGTGCACCAATACACCTGGTATATGCAATGCTGGGATTAGAACTCAGGCCTTCGTACAGTGCTAGGCCAGCACTCTGCCAACTGGGCTCCATCTCCGCTGTCCCTCATCGTCTCACTCGGTAGCCCAGGCAGGTCATGAAATTGCAGCAATCCTCCTGCCTCAGCCTCACAAGTGCTGGGATTACAGGCCTGGTTTCTTGCCTGCCCCTCCCCACCTCCTTAAGTGTTCTTTGGTCCCCCCTCCCCCCAGCCCGTCTGGCTGTTCTTTCCTCCCCCGCCCTAGTCTCCCTCGCCTCCATCTGTTCTGGCCCCTTCCTGGGATCCAGCCCGATCCCCTGACTGCCTACCCACCTCCGAGGGGCTGCGTTGAACTTTCGAGGTCTCCATACTTCAGGGACCTCACTGACCTTGACTGTTAGTTAGTCCTGAGATCTCCTCATCTCTCCATTTTCTGATATCAGAGACTCTGCCCACCTCACCCACGTCTGTGTCTGTTACTTGAATGTCAGTTAGTTTCTGCTCTCTCTCCTGAGTCTGTCTGTCTTGTTCGCTGGCCCTCTCTCCCTTTCTCCAGGTCTCTGTCATCTTTCGTTGTTTCTCCCTCGTTCTTTCTCTCTCAGTCTTCAGCCTTCCATTAGGTTCCTGCCCCTTCCCCAAGTCTTTGGCTAGTTCTCTGTCTACCCCCACGTTTCTGCCCCAGTCTTTGTCGCCCCATCTCAGCAATCTCCCCACACCCCTCTGGTCTCTCCCCATCTGTCTCCAGCAGCCTCTCTCTGGCCAGGAGACAGCCCCTCCATGAGCCCTATCCTTCCTCACACTCAATCCTGGATGCAGATCGGGCGGAGGCGAGAGTCATGCTGGGGAAAGAATGCGCCAGTCTCCCTACCAGGGCCATCTGTCCCCTGCCAGGACACCAGCCATCACTCCCCCTCCCTGCTCCTGAGGCTGACAGTCTGAACCCTAGATTCCCCAGGGGGCTCAAGTCAGACTCCCAAACCCACATGTGTGGGAACGGACTTCAGCCCCATATCTGGGGCTTAGAAGCAGGGCAGGGCGACCAGGGGGAGGGGTCTTTATATATAGCAGAGGTGGCTTGGAAGCATCTGCTTTGTTGACACCTTTGCACGCAGGTCCCTCCTTTGTACCTTTGCTGACTCAAATAGACTCAAATCTGCATCTGCTGGAGGGGGCTGGGGACAGTCCTGGAGCTTGCAGTAGGGGCTTGCAGGCACCTGCTCTTTGATTCCAAAGGATAGTGTGGAATCTCTAACTCTCTAGTGGAGAGAGGGGAGAAGGCTGAGGAGGTGATTGAAGATCTTGACCTTAGAGCGGAATCCAGGCAGGAGAGAGCTGGTGGTCTGGACTCCTGGGACTGGAAGGAATTCCGAGGTCTGACAAGAGACATGGGTTTTGCCATGCACTGCTGTGTCGCAAGGAGGAGAGGGAACCCTGAGTTCTTGGATGGAGGGAGGGAAAGACAGGTCTAGAGATGCCTGCATCCTAGTGAGGGCAGCCAAGCAAGGTTAAGCCGGGAACCCCTGTGTCACCGGTAGGAGGGGCCTGGACTGCTGAGTCTTTGCTTCTCGCCGCCCTGCAGGTTGCTAGAGAAGCGGCAGGAAGGCGCAGAGACACTGGAGCTGAGCGCCGACGGTCGCCCAGTGACCACGCACACTCGGGACCCGCCTGTGGTGGACTGCACCTGCTTTGGCCTGCCGCGCCGCTACATCATCGCCATCATGAGCGGCCTGGGTTTCTGCATCAGCTTCGGCATCCGCTGCAACCTGGGTGTGGCCATCGTGTCCATGGTCAACAACAGCACGACCCATCGTGGGGGCCACGTTGTGGTGCAGGTAGCTGCTCTGACGAGCCCTGCTCACGGCACATGTTGGCACAAGCGGCCAGTTCACACTCCTTCCCAGCTACAATTCCGTGGTCCTGCCCATCCGTGCCTCTCTATAGATCCGACCTTACTCTTGCAGTCCCTGCCTTCCTAAGCCCCGCCCTGGTATAAAGAAAGCCCCGCCCCTTTTCATTCCGGGTTAGGAACGGGCACCCTGGTATTGGGTTTGATATTCATTACCTCGGTTCACTTTTGGCCCTTGTAACCAGTTCACTCACATCTGTGTCCCGCGTTTACGTCCCAGGGTTACATGCACACAATTTCACTCCTGTCTTGAGATCCTTTCCAGACTGACCTCTGCCTTTGTCCACCTGATTAGTTCTGGCTCACACATAAAGCCTCGTCCAAGCTCAGATTTATGCTATTTTAACTTGGGTATTCCAGAAGCCATGCCCATAATTGGGAAAGAAAAAAAAAATCTTAGTTTGGTCTGTAGCTTACCTGAGGCCCCAACCTTTGCTGCAATTTAGTAAGGAACACCCCTAATTTAGCTGCTTCTTGGGCCCTGCCTAGAGCCCATACAGGTCTGTCCACAAACAGGAGGCAGTCACCCCTACACTTGGGGAAGTTCAGGGAGGGGACACTGAGGTAAGCAAGCAAGTAGAACTAGGCAGCAGAGCTTGTAGCTAAAATGTAAGCCCTGGCAACAGAAGGGCGGAGCTCCAGTGAGCTCTGATTGGCAGGCTTGGGGAAGGGGAGGGGATCTTGTTGCTGATGGTCTGTGGGTGCCGATTGGTGGAGGGACGAGTCTGGAGGGTGGCTAGTTTGCTGTGTATTTGACCCGCAGAAAGCCCAGTTCAACTGGGATCCAGAGACTGTCGGCCTCATCCATGGCTCCTTTTTCTGGGGCTACATTGTTACTCAGATTCCTGGAGGATTTATCTGCCAAAAATTCGCAGCCAACAGGTACAGTGGTGGAGTCTCGGGGTGGGGGAAAGTGCAGTTGTGTGTGACGGAGCTCCAGCGAGCGAAGTCCTGGACTTGGCTGCAGGAAGCTGGGAGGGTCCCTGTTTGAGGGCAAATCTCAGGTGGCCTTGAGTCCTGTTGTGGGCAGGAAGAGCAAAATTTTAGGGGCGCTGGGAAGGCTAGATGGCTGGGACCACAATGCCTGCCTCACTGCTCCTGCCGTCTCCCCCACCTTTTCCAACAGGGTCTTTGGCTTTGCCATTGTGGCTACCTCCACCCTAAACATGTTGATCCCCTCAGCAGCCCGTGTCCACTATGGCTGTGTCATTTTCGTGAGGATCTTGCAGGGATTGGTGGAGGTAAAGTCTGTCCCATAAGCCCTGCTCCCCTCTGTGACCCCGCCTCTTCTCGTTGACCTCCGTGCTCCCTCCCTAGGGGGTCACATACCCTGCCTGCCATGGCATCTGGAGCAAATGGGCCCCTCCCTTAGAACGGAGTCGCCTGGCGACGACGGCCTTTTGCGGTGAGAAGGGGCTGGGGGCCGGCTCCTGTGTGAGGGGGGCTGAGCTGTGATCTCAGCTTAGGTGGCAGATTCCTGGGTCCAGGGAAGACAGGCCTGTTTTCTACCCTCGTCGTTCCCTTAGGTTCCTATGCCGGGGCAGTGGTTGCCATGCCCCTCGCTGGGGTCCTGGTGCAGTATTCAGGATGGAGCTCTGTCTTCTATGTCTATGGTGAGGGACTTGCATGCATGGCTCTGGGTGGCACCGGGCTGAGTGAGGCCGATGTCACCCTGCTCCCATCTCCCTCCTGCCCACCCCCAGGCAGCTTCGGGATCTTCTGGTACCTATTCTGGTTGCTGGTCTCCTATGAGTCCCCTGCACTGCACCCCAGCATCTCAGAAGAGGAGCGCAAGTACATCGAGGATGCCATCGGAGAGAGTGCCAAGCTCATGAACCCTGTGACGGTTGGTTGTGAGGCTGCTGGGCAGGGCAGAGAGGAGGGTGCTGGCTCAAATCTCAGAGGAGACAGGACTACGAGCAAAAGGCTGGGGCCAAATGGGGGGCGTGTCATCCCAGCAACTTGGGCTGAGGCAGGAGAATTGCAAGTTCCAGGTCAGGCTATAAAGTGAGTTCAAGGCCAAGCTAAGAAATTTGGCAAAAAGTGGGTTAGGGGTGTAGCTCACAGAATCCCCCAGTGAGGGGTGGAGTGTGGCTCAATGACAGAGTGCCTGCCTAGCATACATGAGGTCATGGGTTCTATTCCCACTACTGAAAACAAACAAACAAACAACAGAAAAGATAATGAAAATAGCTGGGCTAGAATCCATGTTAGGCTGGATGGAGTTGAGACCTAGAGTTAGGATAAGGTGGCTGAGTCAGGGCTGCAGAGGAGGCCTGGTGAAAAGCCGGCCAGGGGATTAGAACTCGAGGTATGGCTACACTCTGTGGAGTGACTGAGTGGACATTCTACTGGGCTCAGGTTTATGGGCTCTCATGGGGCTCAGCATCTGAAAGTGAAGGACCCCTGGGGTCAGGACCCTTCCTTCATCCTTACAATGCAACCTCAAAGCTGGAGGTTTAGAATTCCTAAGTCCCTGAGAGTAAAGATGAGGACCATGCCTGAGGCCCCAGTGAGCTATGGTGGGGTCCCTGAAGGGACATGACGTTCCCAAGCCCAGCATCTGTCTTAGCACAGTCTGCCTTCCCTCCCCTCCCCTTCCTTTCCCCTCCCCTCCCCTTCCTTTCCCCTTCCCTCTCTTCCCCTTCCCTCCCCTCCCTTCCCCTTCCCTCCCCTCCCCTTCCCTCCCCCACAGAAGTTTAACACACCCTGGAGGCGTTTCTTCACATCCATGCCCGTCTATGCCATCATTGTGGCCAACTTTTGCCGCAGCTGGACCTTCTACCTGCTCCTCATCTCCCAGCCTGCCTACTTTGAAGAAGTGTTTGGCTTTGAGATCAGCAAGGTTGGCGGGCAGGCATAGGGGACTCGGTGGGGGTGAGGGAGAAGGTGCCTGCATCCCCAGGTGAGCTTGGAGGAGTGGCTGCTCATGACCTGTTCTCGCAGGTGGGCCTGGTGTCTGCACTGCCCCACCTGGTCATGACCATCATCGTGCCCATCGGGGGCCAGATTGCCGACTTTCTGCGCAGTCGCCGGATAATGTCCACCACCAATGTGCGAAAGTTGATGAACTGCGGGGGTGAGTGGTGGGCCCGGGCGGAGCACAGCACAAAGAGGGGGTCAAAGGGCATGACCCCCGCCTGAGTAAGGGCAGCGTGCAACAGCTTCATGACTTCAGGATTGGAGACCGCCACGTGGAAATCTTAGGCGAATGAGTACAGACCCAGGTGGTGTAGAGATAATCCAAGCTGGAAGGGGGCGGGGCCTAAGTCCTACATAACTCTAAAACCTAGAGTCCTAAAGTGGCCATAACTGGGGTTTCAGGGAGACAGGTCATGGGTGGGGACCTAGCAAGATGGTTGAGAGTGGGGTCCCAGGCTTCCTTATGTGATAAGGACATAGATCTGAGTTGCAGAGTGTGGCCTAGTCAGAAGGTGGGATCACAGTGGGCCCTTTTAAGGCAGAGTGGCCAGAACACATGGACTGGGTTGGGTTTTGGGGAAGCAGGATCCACTCTGGTTTGGTGGAACTGGAGTCAGGTCTTCCGCAGGTCAGAGGTCACCAGATGGGGTCAACAGAAGGGGGCTGGGGTGAAACCGGCTGGGAATGTGTGCAGGGTGGCCAGTGGTGTCACAGTCGAGACTCAGGAGACTTGGTCCTTCACAGGCTTTGGGATGGAAGCCACGCTGCTGCTGGTGGTTGGATACTCACACTCCAAGGGTGTGGCCATCTCCTTCCTTGTCCTGGCTGTGGGCTTCAGCGGCTTTGCCATCTCTGGTGAGAACCCCAGACGGGTAGCTGGGGGTACTGGAGTCAGCACAGTACTGGAATGGACTCCTCAGGAGCAACACAGCTGTCTCAGCAGTGAAGACTTGCTACTCTCCCAGAAGACCTAAATTCCCGTTCCCACGGGCTACCTAACGGCCAGTAGTGAATCACGCACCCTCTTCTGGCCTCTACGGGCATTGCACTCACATGTATATATCCTCACAGACATGCACATAATACATATACGTTTTAAAAATGAGTGCCCCAGGAGAGCGGGGGATGGGGCGAGTATGACCCTGCATGAGGGTCTGGTGTGACGTTTGCTGACTTGATACCCCACCAGGGTTTAACGTGAACCACCTGGACATCGCCCCTCGCTATGCCAGCATCTTGATGGGCATCTCCAATGGCGTGGGCACACTGTCTGGGATGGTGTGCCCCATCATCGTGGGTGCAATGACCAAGCACAAGGTTAGCACAGACCTCCTGATGAATGCCTGGAACCTTCCAGTACCAGCCTCCCTCCTCTCCCTTTCTTTTATCTCTCCATCCATCTTTCTTTCTTTCTTTCTTTCTTTCTTTCTTTCTTTTTTCCAAGACAGGGTTTCTCAGTGTAGTCCTGGCTACCCAGGAATTTACTCTGTAGACCAGGCTGGCCCCAAACTCAGAGATTTTTATCTCAAAAAAACCTATTTTTATTAGTTTAATTTTTTTATTGACTTAGATCGTGTGAGCTATTTTGTGCTATGGGATATGTGTTCCCTCTTTCCACCATGTGGGTCCAGGGATAGAATCAGGCCTGCAGGGTGGTAGCGCCTCTAGCCGCTGAGCCTTCTCAGCAACGCAATTCTTTTTTTAGTCAGAGGCTCATCACGTGGTCCTGGCTGGCCTCGGACTCACAGGGACCCGCCTGCCTCGGCCTCCCGCGTGCCCACCCCTGGCCTCCTGTTGTTCTCAGTTGTGTATGCGCACGTGAAGTGCTGTGCCCACAGTGGCCGGGGGCGCCCGCCGGGTCATTGTGAGCTGCCAATGTGGGTGCCGGGAACTGAAAAAGCAGGAAGACCCCTCAACCGCCGAGCCATCTCTCCAGCCCCCATACATGTATTTTTAAGGAGCATCTCCTGTGGCCCATGCTGGCCCGACAGATGTGCCCCTCCCTCGTTTGACCTTGTGCCGTGTTGTGTTGTCTGCCCCCAGACTCGGGAGGAATGGCAGTACGTGTTCCTCATCGCCTCCCTGGTGCACTATGGGGGTGTCATCTTCTATGGGGTCTTTGCTTCGGGAGAGAAGCAGCCGTGGGCGGAGCCGGAGGAGATGAGCGAGGAGAAGTGCGGCTTTGTTGGCCACGACCAGCTGGCTGGCAGTGATGAAAGTGAGCTGGAAGACGAGGCTGAGCCCCCGGGGGCGCCCCCAGCGCCTCCCCCTTCCTATGGGGCCACGCACAGCACAGTTCAGCCTCCGAGGCCCCCGCCCCCAGTCCGGGACTACGGACCACGTGCCTCCCACTGATTGCAGTTTCCAGGACCTCCACTGACACACCTCTAGCCTGGCGGCAGTGTGGAGGAACCCGACTCCGCTCTGTCCTGCCTCAGGCCTAAGATGCAAGTCTCCCTCGTTAGCAGTGCTGTCCAGCCAACCCTCTTCCCTTCTCTCCTCCTCAAGGGGTGAAGCTGCAGTAGCGGTTTCATGATACCCAACCCCCCGGAGGTTGTTCTCCGCCTGTCTGCCTGTGTGGTTTCAAATCTCTCCTTTCAGGGCTTTGTTTGGATGGACAGTTCAACCCCTTTCTCTTGTGCTTTTGAGGTTCCACCTTTTCCTAGGACCCCAGGGATTCTCAGGCTACCCCAAGATTATTCAGCTGGTCCCCAACTCTGAAAGATCCATGATCATCCCCTGTCAGTTCCAGGGCTTTCCTGGAAATCAATTCTGCATTTCCCCGGTTGGTTCCACCAACCACCAACCTCGCCCGCCATTCCAAGGACCGATTCTCACCAGCGTTTTGAGGGGAAATGGCGGTTTCAAGTCCCACCACTCCTTCCTCCCCCCCCCCCCCCCCCAGCAGCAGCGGTTTGCCAGGCCTTGTCCTTAGTTTAGTACAATGTCCAGGGAAATGGCCGACGTGGCTCCGCTCACCCGTGCTCTTTTTCTGACTCAGTTTTCAGGTCTAAGTAGTGGCTGGAAGCCGTCACTTCTTCCCCTCCCCTGGGGGGGGGGGCGGTTTCAGGGTCTCCCTTTCCCCCCAAATCCTTGCACTTTACTCCCCTGGGTGGTACAAACTGCCCTCAGTTTCTCAGTGACCGTTTGTTGTGTCCCTCAGGGGCTAAATAACTCCAAATCCGGGGTGCTTCCCTCATAGACACCCCTCTTTCAGCTCAGCCCTTTCAGCTCAGCCGTCTGGGGAAGAGGTGGGAGGAGAGGAGCAGGTTGGGGGCAGGGGCTGCTCCCGGGGCAGGGCTGTGTCCTGGTGTCTGTCTCTGTGCCGTGAACCCTGCCCTGCCCTGCCCTGCCCCATCCACTCCCAATAAACGCTTTGGTGTACAGACTAGGCTGTCGCCGGATGTGGGTCCTCCATCGGCCCCAAGCCACGTCCTGGCCTAGGGAGCGCGTGTGTGCAGACCCTTGCTCCACCCCGGCCTCAGTTTCTCCACTGAGCCCTCCCCCCACCCCCGCCCTTCGCCAAGCACTGGGCGCAGATGCAGACGCTGGGGGGGGGAAGGTGGTTTATTGGGAAGCTCTGCTTGGCTCTGCGGCTCCTCTGGGCGTTGAGGCTGGCTCGGGCCTGCGGTGCTGCTGCCTTCAGACAAAGTTGGGAGACAGCGCGGCCGGCGACAGGGCTTCCAGGCGCTGCGGCCCGCGGGGCGGAGGGGGCAGCTTGGGCGGCAGTGCGGGCGTGGGAGGCGGCTGCTGCGTGGCGATGTGCGAGGGCACCCACGCGTCGGGGGCATAGAAGTAGAGGTCCACGGGGTCCTTCGGGGCGTCCAGGTGCAAGACTGCAGGGGCGAGGGTGGGGTCAGGCGTGTGTGTGTGTGTGTGTACACTGGGCTACACAGTGAGATCATATCTCAGAGGAGGAGGATGGTGGAGGGGGGAATCATTTCAGACATAGGGACCAGACTTTACACTTACCTGGGACAGGAAGGGGGTCTGTGTTTTTCTTTCTTTTAATTATTTTATTTCATGTGCACTCGTGTTTTGCTTGCATGTATGTCTGTGTGAAGGTGTCACACCACCTGAAACTGGAGCTACAGACAGTTATGAGCTGCCATGTGTGTGCTGGGAATTGAACCTGGGTCCTCTGGTAGCTTCTGAGCCATTTCTCCAGCCTGGGTCTGTGTTCTTTAGAAGGGAGTGCTAAGTCCCCAGAACTGGATAAGGCACCCTTAGGGCATCCCAGAGAGAGCGAGAACTCACCTGGCTCCTCCCCGCTGTCCTGGAGCCGGTGGTGTGCGAAGGACCTGTGTCTGGAGGCTCGGCGGTACAGACACCACAGCAGGAGGAAGATGCCAATTAGCATCCCGGTCCCCGCGAAGAACAGGCACAGGGCCCCACTGATGGAGCCTCGTGGGCGGCTGACCAGAGTCACCCCTGAGAGATGACACAGTCATTTGAACTGAGTGCTTCATCCTTCAGACCCAGCCTCCTCCCTCACAGCCAAGACTCCAGGCCCTGCGTTCCTCCCTCAGATCCACTGCCCAGGCCCAGCCCTCCTCCCTCAGACCCAGGATCCAAGCCCAGCCCTCCTCCCTCAGACCCACTGCCCAGGCCCAGCCCTCCTCCCTCAGACCCATCACCCAGGCCCAGCCCTCCTCCCTCAGACCCATCACCCAGGCCCAGCCCTCCTCCCTCAGACCCATCACCCAGGCCCAGCCCTCCTCCCTCAGACCCAAGGCTCCAGGCCTAGCCCTCCTCCCTCAGACCCATCACCCAGGCCCAGCCCTCCTCCCTCAGACCCAAGGCTCCAGGCCTAGCCCTCCTCCCTCAGACCCATCACCCAGGCCCAGCCCTCCTCCCTCAGACCCAAGGCTCCAGGCCTAGCCCTCCTCCCTCAGACCCATCACCCAGGCCCAGCCCTCTGCCTTGAGATCCTCACCAGTTTCCTTCACCCTTTCCACCACGATGATAGTGTTGACTGTCTCTCCTCGGCTGTGTCTCTGAGGGGCCTGCAGCATCCCAGGGGCTACCTGATTGGGCTTGTCTATAGGAGCTGGGGGGCCTGCAATCCGTGCTGAGGGAGGAGGGGTATCTGAATCTTTAGGGCCCGGGTTCTGGGGTACGTTAAGCTCTTTCGTTCCTAGGAAATCCAAGGTGGACAGGCCAGAAGTGGCAACTTGGGTGGCTGCAGGGGCTTCTGGGCTGGGCTCACTGGATGTGGCTGTTTCCTCCCTGAAGGTTGCTGTTGATTGGGCAGGCAGACTAGTGGTGGTTTCCAAATCAGAGCTCACAGCTGTCTCTGTTGCCTTTTGGTTGAGGATTGTGGGGAACTGTGTTTGGGGGACGTCAGTGGTATTGGAATTGTGGGTGATGAGAGATGCTGGCTGGGGAGTTTCTGTCAGGTCAGGATGAGTGGTTGGCAGTAAGGCAGAATTTAGGGTTCTGGGGGTACCAGGGTCATAGGTCCCTAGGGATTTGGAGCTGAAGAGTTGGGTGGGGCCAGGACTTGGTGTCTTAGGCTGTTCACCAGGAGTGATTTGGGGGGTATGTTCTTTGGGGGCTTCAGGGGAGTCTTGGTGTGCTGTTGGTGTAGGGTCAATATGCTCAGCGTTAGGAGATTCTGGGGGTGAAGCTGTGAAGGGGTCAGGGTTTTGGGTTTCAAGAAACCCAGACTGGGAAATTGCAGTCAGGTCAGGTTTGGGGGTCTCAGAAGATTCTGGCAGTGTTGCTTTGGAGGGGTTTGTTTGTGAAGCATTCTGGGATTCTGTGCCTGAGGTTGTGAGCTGGGCAGGCATGGGGGTCTCTGGAGAATCTGAGAGGCTGGGGCTGGGGATCTCGCTTAAGTTTTTCCTGGGAATATGAAGGGAAGCTGAAGGTGGTGTCTTGAGCTCAGGAAGAACTGTTGCAGGGTATCCGGGGGTGGGCCCGTCTCCAGAACTTTCTAGGGCACCAGTGGGCATCCTAGAGGGCTGGACCATCTCCTGGGGGTCAGAGCCCATGGGCAGAGAGGCTGGGGGAGCCGCCTTGGAACCCAAACAACCAAGGAGGAAGAGTAGGAAGAAGATGGGGCTGAAGGGCTGCATGGCTCAGAGAACTCTATAGCTGTGGGAGGAGGAGGTAGGAAGAGGTTAAAGCCAAAGCATCCTGGAGTCACACCCACTCCCAGGGGCCACACTCCCTCTGTCCAGGGACTCTAGCAAAACCCAATCTCAAGTCCCTGGTGTGGGCTGGTAGCTGTGGTCACTAAGGTTACAGGAGTTCAGGGATTTGGGAGTGGTAGTGCATTTCCCAGTGGGGTCCCTGAAAACTTGGGACATAATGATACCATGGCCCCACAAATGTTAGATTCTACCTTCAGAAGGTATCAGATGGCCAAGGGGACATGGGGTGACCTTCTCCTCCCAGGATGCTGGGGACTCAAGCTGAGTTAGAGGAAGTCTTTGAGGAAGACTCCAAGGCCCTGAAAAGGAAGCTACTGGGCTCTGAGTCCCACAGAGTGAAGGGCTGAGGGTTACGGGGGGGCAGGACGGACATGGGATCCCTGGACCATGGGTCAGATGATGTCTGGATCTGTGTTCCAGGCCTTTGAGAAGTAGGGATGTGAGGTGTAGACTCCTCGGCCTGATGGGGTCGGAGGCAGGACAGTAAACTCTGTCTCTGTTTATAGAGAATGGACCCATGGCTTCTGTGGTGGCCTAGAGATGGAGGAGTGAACGTGAGTGGGACAGGGTCACGGGGTCACGGGGTCTCTTACCTGTGCAGTGGTGTCCAGGACAGCAACAGATGATCAGCGCTAGACAAAGAGGCAGGCAGGGAGTGCTGCCGAATGGCGCTGGAAGGGGCAGGCACTAGGGTCCCAGAGGCACACAGGTGACGTACCTGCCCCCCTCCCTGGGGAATCTTGGGAGCCTAGCAACAAGCTGAAGTTCTTAAAGAAACAGACATAGGACCTCATCATTATGGCAGAGAAGGAAGTTAGGATTTAACCAAATTATTTTCCTTTTGAAGGCAAGGTTTGGCCAGGCATGATGGTACAGGCCTGTGATCCCTGTTCTTGACAGGCTGAGGTGGAATTATGAGTTCAAAGCCATCTTTGCATGACCATAGTGAGATCCAGGCCAGTCTGGGCTACCTAGCAGGACTATCTCAAAATAAAACAAGAGCCAGGCAGTGGTCCATGCCTTTGATTCCAGCATCTGGGAGGCTGAGGCTTTTAGGAAAGCTGCCACAAATTTGAGGCCATCCTGGGCTACAGAACCAGTTCCAGGCCAGCCTGGGCTGCAGTGTGAAAGCAAAAATAAAACCAACCAATTAAACATACACAAAAAAACCTCCTGAAAACTACCAACCCAACAGACACAAAACAAACTCCCCATGTATAAGAGCCCTGGGCCCAGTTGTGCAGTGGTGGTACACACGTTTAATCCTAGCAGTTGGGAGGCAGATCTCTGTGAGTTCTAGGTCAGCTTGATCTACAGAGCAAGTTCCAGGACAGCCAGGGCTACACAGAGAAATCTGTCTTGAAAACCAAAAAGTCCTGGGCCCTTTCCAATTTCCCCAACCAAACCCAAGTCCCTGGTACCTTTCCACTTTGATCCCACTAGGTGACTCTGTCCCCTTCACAATAAGGAATTCAGGCTTCCAGGTGTCCCCCTTGCCAGAACCCAGGGGTCTGAGGCCCTGTCTTGACCACCTTCAGGTTTGGGATCCCAGGCTTGGACCTCTCCTCTCAAGCTCGCACCCCCCTCCTTTTGCCCATGGTATGGGAGGAGGGTGTCTCTATTTGCCCCTCCTTTGAGATAGTCTTTGTAACACACACACACACACACACACACACACGCCTCAGATTTGCGGTGCTTCTCCTGCTTCTGCCTTCTGAGTGCTGACGTGAGGTGTACTGCACTATGGGGTGTCCTTGGGAGCCCCCTTTAAACATGTCTTATCTTCACCACATCCAGGTGTCCCTGGGGGGTGGGGGAGGAGGGGTAAGACAACCCTGTGGAAGCCCGGGGCCTCTGTGTCCCACTTCACAGAGGTGACTTCACTTGTTTACACACTGCTAGCTCTTCTCCCTCTCTCCCTGCCTGTCTCTGCTGAGCTCTCCTATCCTCTCCACACCCTCTTCTCTCAGCCTTCCTCTCCATCTCCAGAGCCCTCTCAGGCCTTCCTCTCTTCGTGTTATTTCCTTCCGAGGGCACCCTGTCTTTGTCTGGAGGTTATTCCTTCCCTCTTTCTCCTCTCAGATTCCTCTGCTCTCTCTCTTCTCTGCCTCTCTGTGTGTCCCCGACTGGTGCTCTAATGGTCCCCCTCTGCAGTCTCTATTTTTATCCCTCTGACACACCCCTTGTGTCCTTCTCTCTGTCTGTTTCCCCCATTCCCCTTCTTCAGTACCAGCTCTGGGTCCCAATTAGTTGGTGGCGGCCACAGCAGCAGAGGCCCCCACCAGGCCTCTCATTACCGCTGGCGGCTCCTAATGAGCGTGGGGTGGAGTGACCCCGCGCCCCCTGCCCGGCCTGCGTCACTGCCAAGGCGGGGGTTGTGCTGGTATATAAGGGGGGCTGTGAGCACCGCTGCCTGAGCTAACAGCACGGTAGGGCGCCCGGCGGGAGGCTGATGGTGAGTGTTGGACGGTGGGCTCCCAGGTTCAGGGCTGTATGACGATATCGAGATCCTGTCCCCTGTGTCCACAGGTGATGGAGACCTGCCAGGTGTCCAGGAGCCCCCGAGAGCGGCGGCTGCTGCTTCTGCTGCTACTGCTGCTTGTGCCCTGGGGCACCGGCCCTGCCTCTGGTGTTGCCCTGCCCCTCACTGGTGTGTTCAGGTAGGTGTGAGGTCCCCCGACTCCCGGGAAAGGGAGGAGACACCCCAAGGGAAGGCGAGATAACACGCTGGGGTGGAGGTGGGTTTGACGTTAGAACGCAGTGGGGCCTGGCGGTCCGTGGGGCCTGGCGCTCAGCCACTGCACTTCTCTTCCCGCAGCCTCCGCGCCCCAGGCCGGGCCTGGGCGGACTTGGGTACTCTCCTGTCTCGGCGCAGCCTGGCGCTAGCGGACGACGCAGCCTTTCGGGAACGCGCGCGCCTGCTAGCAGCCCTGGAGCGCCGCCGCTGGCTAGACTCGTACATGCAGAAGCTGTTGCTACTGGACGCGCCCTGAGCCCAATAAAGAGCCTGCCCCGCAGCGACTGCGCCTTCTTGCTGAGCCGCCCTGGCAGGGGTGTATGGGGAGGGGCCCCTTCTCGTCCTCGCTGGTTTTCGCAGCCTCCGGGGTCCCTTTCCGAGTCTTTGCTCTCTCCAGATTCCGTCGCCACTCTGCTCTCCTTTTATCACAGTCGTGGGGCCCTGATCCAGCTCTGTGACGGGTCGAGGTTTTCCTTTTTTCTTTTCTTTTTTTTTTTCTCGAGACAGGGTTTCTCTGTGTAAGCCCTGGCTGTCCTGGAACTCACTCTTGTAGACCAGGCTGGCTTAGAACTCAGAGATCCTCCCAAGTGCTAGGATTAAACGCGAGTGTCACCACCGCCTGGGTCAGGTTTTTTTTTTCTTCCCCCTTCCTAGGTTTTTCAAGATAGGGTTCCTCTTTGTAACAATCCTGGTTGTCCCGGAACTCACTTTGTAGACCAGGTTGGCCTCGAACTCACAGAGACCTGTCTGCCTCTGCAAGGCGTGTGCCACCATGCCACGCCCAGATAGGGTCGGAGTTTCTTAACCTTTCTGGGCCTGTTGTTCAACTGGCCCAGGAGGTCTCCAAGGTCTTCGCTGGAGTTCGCGGGGTTCTGGGGAGCAGAAACCAATCAGAGCTCGTAGCTTCCGGAGGCCCCATTCCCCCCCCCCCTCACTGGTCCTTTCGGCGAGCACACGGGGCGAGCGGACAGCGCCCTGATTGGTCTAGAGCAGGCCGGAGAGTCCGCCCTCCTAAATTTGCATTTCCTGGAGGCGGACCGAATCCTCATTGGCCCTTACGCTGTGAGGGCGGAGCTGCTGCTTGCTGCTCAGAAGCCCGGGATACCGTGCAGAACCGGTTAGCGGGCGGCACCTACAGCAATCCGGTTAGTAACAAGGCGCTACCTCACGCCCAGAAATCCGAGTTTTGACTGCTGTCTCCAACAGATCACACCAGGCTCACGTTTCTCCAAACCCCCTCCTCCCGCGGCTCCTTCCACCTTCTCGCCAGCTCAGGGCTGTCCTCCCGCACTTGGATAGGTTCAGACCTCCTGGCTCCATCCACACCTCGCTCCACAGGTCTCGTTCCCAGTGCTTGGGCCTGCCCTTCTCAACCCTCTCCTGGGCACTGGGAACAGCTTGTGGGCTGGGGTTCCAGTGCCACCTCTGCATCTTACTCGCAGAGCCCGCTGTGGCTGCCAGCCTGCCTTGTCTGGATCACCCACCCCTGGGTCTCCTTCCCGCTACCGGGATGTCCGGCTAGCCGACTTCTCAGCCTGTATCCCATCTGCGCCGCTTCTCAAAACTGAACGCGTGGGGTTGGGAGTGGTGTTCTCGGGCTGCACCCCACTTGGCTCTCTTTGTAAATCATAGGAAAGCCGACGATGCCGCCAGCGTTATTGGCGCAGGATCCTGTGGCGCGCTTAAGGTTCACAGCAGTCTGGCAACTCGAGGGTTCAGAGGCCTGCAAGCAGGGGGTCTTGCGTGACCCAGTGTTTTGTGGAGTTGCCAATGAGGAGCTGTGAGAGTAGCCTCTTGTTTGCCTGCTTCAGACAAGCCCTGACTGAGCAGGCAGTGCACTTGCAGTGCAGGGCCAGCCCTGGTCCACGGCCTCGCTTGCAGCAGCATCTACCACACAGACACAACTCAGGGACAGCGAGCTCTCCCCAGCCCAGCACCATGCTGCAGTAGCAGCTTCCGAAGCAGGAGAGGAGGATGGAAAAAGCCTAGGGACCTTGGGTCCCACTGTGACTCAACTGAGGCCCAGGTGCCCTCCTCCCTGAACTTGTTTGGTGAGGCAATCATCCCGTGCTGAAGTCATTACTGCATGATTTGCTATTGTCAAGAAAACAGGAAAAAGCCAGGAGAGGCTATGGTCACATAAAAACAACTTAGGGATGTTGGCCCCGTGTCCTGATTCTGAATCAGGGACAGAAGGAGGCACAGTGGGGTACGGTGTCTCACACTGGTGGGGGCTGTAGGTAGTAGAGCTGCAGGTGTGGCCAAGTGGGTGTCGGGGACTGGCTCAGCAGCAGGATGGAGAGTAGCAGCAGCAGCAGCAGGCCCAAGACGGGCGTGGGGACCAGTGGATGTTGGCTGATTCTGGAGAGGAGGCAGGAGAGGCTGAAGGTGGCCCCAGGGAGACTGGCCTTATTATTAACATGTGGCTCCCCACCCGCTTCTGGAGACACCTGAAGGACACACCTGAGCCCTGGGGAGTGCTGGGGGCGCAGGCAGTGCTGGGCCCAGGGCCTCTTGACTGGCACCAGCTCTCTCACCACAGGCGTGAGGGCTTGCTGCACCTCTGGCACATCTTGACAGCTGGAAGGCAGACGGGTTGCTAGGTCTGGTCTGTCCTAGGTCCCTTTCCAGTTCCCATGTATCCCCTTTACCTCTCAGGAGAGCTTCCTGGGTCAAGCTCATAGCCAGGGGTTCCCAGAGGGCTGGTGGGGCCAACCTGGGTGGAGAAAGGACACAGCACACCCACTCACTCATTCTGCAGGGGTTTGGGGCAGCACCCTGGATTCTGACTGCACACAAGGCCACATGTCCCTGGTCAGGGATGATGACAGCCCTCCCCTTCCCGGGACTGACGGAATGGGGGAAAGAAGGCAGGGTTAGGACAGTGTCCATGCAGTGGTCAATGAGGGTGTGAGCTTTTAGACTGCTCTCCCCCTCCCAACGGATCCTCTAAGTCCCTAGCCTCCGGGGCAGGGATTTCCAGGTGCCTGTCCCTGTGCTGGACACATATGCCGTGGCCAATTACTGAAGGCTCCGTCAGCCTGCTGCCACTCCTCCTGTCTCTCTGGAACCTTTCTGCCAGTCAGGGTTTCACATGCCCACATCTGCTCCTAATGCAGTGGACATGCCAATGACAAACCAACTAGCGTGTCACTCCCAACATGTCGCTCCTGCTCCCATGTTGCCTGGCCCTGAGCTGAGGGCAGAGAAAAAGAGCCGGATTTCCCCAATGATGGGGCCTGAGCGTGACCAGGCAGGTCAGGACTCCAGAGCCTGCCCTCCATCCCTCACAAGCCCTGGACTCATCTCTCATTGCGTTCCTTTACCTTCCCTTGAGCAGAGCTGGCCTGAGACCTTCATTTTGTCTAGCCGCGGAGAAAGGTGGAGCTGTCCAGGCCCAGGCGGTCTGACCAATCACTGAGGCCACTAGTTCTTTGGTGAGGGGGACTGTGTGGGAGTTCGCGGTGCAGTGGGGGTGTAGCGGGGGTGTAGCGTTAGCTGTGAGGCTCCAGGCTCAGACTATACATATGTGGCTGGGGTCTCTGGGGAACATCCTGGCTGGCAACTGCCTCCAGCCTCCCCCTTTCCATTCCCACCCCTGCCTCTCATTAGCTGCACCGAGGGCCTTGTTATCGCCTGACCAAATGATTTTCTGTCTGTTCCTAAGGACTTCAAGCTGGGGAGAAGGGGCTGGAATTAGTTGCTCAGCTCTTAGGGATAGTAAGGATGCTAGGGATTGCCTACCAGGACCCAGCTTTCTTCTTCTTCCTCTTCTTCCTGTCTTCTGGACAACCTATAGCAAACAGAGTCATTGGACACCTCTCCTCCCCAGTTCTCTTACCCACCGGAAGCTGCAGATACAATGGACCTCAGTCTGATGGGGGCTCCTGTGTATACTTTTCAGAGATTGAAAACAATCAAATCTGGGAGTTTGTGACCCCCCAAAGGCTCAGAAGCCCTTGACCTAGGCTTTCCTACTTGTCCCTTTCCAGCTGATCTCCAGGCAGAAACAAAGTCTGTGCTTTACCCTCAACACCAGGGTATGTGAACTCTGGGCCCCCTGTTGGGGGTGCTAGGCCATTTCTTAGCCTTGGTCTTTCAGCTCTTGTCAGAGACTGGGAAAGTACCTCCCCTCTCTCAGCTCTGAAGCTCACTATTTGGGAGCCTCAAGTCCAAACCACTTCTCTAGGTGTGCGAGCCCCAGCTTCCCCAAGCCTCTGCTTTAGGGACACAGCTTTGGAGGCCCTGCTATCAAGCTCCAGAGGCCGATGGCTCCACAGGGACCCAGGTGCCCCTGACACCAGCCTATGCCTGAGGATCAGGGATCTCGCCCTGCAGCTGCCATCAAGCCAGTAGCCTCAGAGACACAGCTGCTCCCACCCAGGCCCACTGTGCACTGCTGTGTGAGCCCCTGAAATGCTCATGTGGGCTGTTGAGTCCCCACCCCTTGAGGTCAGGCCCCAGCCTCTTCCTATCTTGGGCCGCAGTGTTTGTCACCCCAGTCCTGGGCTGGGTGCCACCCTGGAAATGTGCTGATAGCAGCTTATCCTCCTATCCTCATGACGTAGGAGGAGGTCACACTGCTCAGAGCACCCAGGCAGCCCAATCTCAGCTCTACCCAGGCAAGTCCAATTAGAGGTTGTATAGGGGCCTCATTAGCCGTGACAGCAGGAGTCTGGAGGAGGGGGCCCCACAGGAAGCCGGGGGCGCTGTGACCAGACATCCAGTGTTTTCCATTCTTACTCAAAGCCCGAGTAAGGGCCTCAAAACACATCCCATCAGTCACACAGCTGGACTCCGGGATCTATGGAGGCTCATAGAGGCCCCTCAAGGAATGGGGGCCCAAGATTGGTTCTGGAGCCTGCAGGGTCTTCCATGGCTGGGAGTCCTCAAGGTGTCTATCAGCCTTGTCCCTGCATCTCTGGCTCCCTGTAGGGTAACAACTGCAAACCTATACCATCCAGGCTGGTCTTTGGGGTGCCCCCCACAGCCCCTGAAAGCCTCTCTGGGGTCTAGGTGTCCACCTCCTCTTGGAATTGCCAGGGTCAGGATGTGCTCACAGACTGAGGAGGGGAGGGTGCCGTTTGTCCTGATCCTCTCACAGCCAGAATCCACAGCGGGAGGACCCATCCACCTACTCCTTACCTTGAGGATGGTGTTCTGCTTCCTTCTAGAGCATGCAGTGACTCTCTCTGGAAGTTTCTCTGCAGAACATTAAGGTTTGGTCTCCTTATCTTCACACCAGTAGCCCAGCCAGACCCCCTCTACTTGAGGTCCAGACCGAGGTGGATGGCCCCAGGAATACAAGTTTTTAAGCTTCCCATAGGGGTCCTCTCAGCACCAAGGCAAAGCCACATGTGCCGTGGACACTGTAACTCTACCTAGCTCCTTCTAAGGACCAGACATTAATGTTTCCAGGATGCCTCCGCCCACCAGCCTGTTCTCCTCGCTTCCCTCTGTGGGACTCAGGCTTCTCCCTGCTCCTCCG